CCAAATAGTCCTGACACGGCCAATGATGGCTTTGTACGGCTTAGAGGACTCCCCTTTGGATGTAGCAAGGAAGAAATTGTTCAGTTCTTCTCAGGTATGTAGTCGTGTTTGTTGCTGAGCAGTGAGTTCCGGCTAGCTTCTGGCAACGTGATTTAATAGACCTTAAGGTTGAGTAGCTTAGATGTTTAAATAGGTTGTGAGTATATGCAGGTTGATTAATGTTTTCTTCTTCCTGGAGACCTTCAAATAATTTAAGCCCATCTTAAAGGTGGAAATTAAGTACTTCCAAAATTCTAACTTTGCCTATATTTATAGTTTTGTAGTTCAGAGTAGATCTTAAGAGGATTGTCCTCAACAGCTTAACTTTTCCTCACAATGCTGTTCAGCAAAAGTACTTCAAGTCAAAGGTAAGATCCCTTAACGTTAGATTAGTATATGAGTTAGGTGGTTGTAATTTATGGCAGATGTCTGTGTAAGACACATTGGGTCGTGGGAGCAGAAATGTCTAATGGTCTAATTCTCTATGCAGAAAAACTATTATGGAAGCAACTGATTTAGCCAGGGAATTAATAAATTTAGCCTAAGTGTAAGTTGAATGTATAGTCTTAGAATCTGAAATACAGAAAGTGTTTTGAAATTGTTCTGGGCCTAAAGTATTTGAATGTTTTTATGCTGAAGAGCTGATAAAAATTGCATGTTTAGCAGAATGTTAGACCATGTATCTTATACTATTACTTGATATTCATGATGTAATAAACTGGAATTAACAAGAAATCCTTTCATGGTTTAGTGTAGTATGTATTAAAATCCTGACTTAGATATGTATCAAGTCCTATATTTTGCCAGAATTTTTGAAATCTAGTCTGTTTTGATTGTTTTGTCTAAATTGGTGAGAATTGAATGCTATCTGTCAACGTTAAATATGAACATAATTTCATATCTTCTAGGAAAGTGCTTTAAGCCCTTTTTGTAAGCTTGGGAAAGTATCCACGGAAAGGATTTTTCATAGACGGAATTTCCAGAAGTGAATCATACTACTGTTAGATCATAAGAGTGCATGCTTGTGCTGTGTAGATCAGTTGTTTGTTGAAAGTTTAGATTGTGTGTTTGTCAATGATATTACTTAAGCAATGTTTCAATTTGTATATGCAATGTTTAAATGTGTAAATTTTTTTGTACTTGAAGTTCCACTAACTTAAAACATTGAAGTATAAAATAAGGTAAAAGGTGTGTCTTGAATTTAGTAAAACTGTTGTATTTAATGCTTGAAACTTTATTAAATTCTTGTATAATTCTCAATATTAAGTTGCAATAGATTAAGTGTTCATAATTGTTTAATTCTTAATGCATTCTGTGTCCAGCAAGTATTTTTTAATATACTGTGCCATGGGGTGTGTTAAGAATTGAGTTATACTTAGTAATAATGGAACTTCATATTACTGCAATGCATATTTAAAAAGTACTTGTTGAAAACATACCGTTCGCCTAAAGTTAAAATTCTGGTTTATTTAAAGCTATAAGAAGAATCATTTCTGGGCTTGTGATGTTAATATTGCCCCCCTACTGGGGTTATTTGTCCTTGGGTTGAAGGGTTGGAAATCGTGCCAAATGGGATAACATTGCCGGTGGACTTCCAGGGGAGGAGTACGGGGGAGGCCTTCGTGCAGTTTGCTTCACAGGAAATAGCTGAAAAGGCTCTAAAGAAACACAAGGAAAGAATAGGGCACAGGTGGGGATGGATGGTTGGTTGGATTTGTCACTTTTCTTATGGTAAAGAATTAAATCCATATTCTCTCTGCTTAGAAGGAAGAAGTTAATCTGTTTTCTAGTCCCAATTGATGTTTGGCCACAATTTTCAAACTTTTCTTATATCAAAGTCCCATCATGGATTCAGATGAAATTTTAGGTTTTAAAATTGTCTTCTGTTAAAATTTGGTCTACTTTACAAATTTGTAAGATTCCTAATTAATCCCAGTCAATGGAGTTGAGAGACTATGGCTTTAAAAAAATGTAATGCAAACCTGGCTTTAGCTGTAATAACACCCACCTAGTAAATTAATATTACCATAAGAAAATGTGATACTTTCTGATCTTGTTTTTAAAGTTGAAATGCAACAAACTTTTTCTTGCTGTATAAATATTCTGCATATGTATTAATAAGCATAGCTTTCAAGAAATTGTCACAAAAGGTTTTATTCTCTTTGCTTGTGACTATTTTTCATTGAAGCATGCGCTTACCTATGCTGAGTCCTACTAAAAGCATAGGCTGGGGTATTTATTGGCGAAAGGAAATGTGTAGTGTGGGCTGGACTGTTGGTGGAGGCTGGCTTTTTAGCCCACTTGCTATACATGCTGCCAAAAGATTTAAGACATGAAATGTTGAAAGTTGAGTGGAATTCTTCCCTCCTAAAACAATTTACAGTACTCCTCTACCCCTAAGGTTGGGCTCTTTGCCTTAGAGGAGTGAGTTTTCTATAAAGTTTACATGAAATTATCTTACAATTGAGTGAATTTCTGGTCATTGCCTATGCAAATATAAGAAATCTGGCTTTAAATATTAGTCAGTTTCATGGCTATGACTACATTGTTTTCTTGTGTAACTAAATACCTGTATGACATGAACTAATGTTTTCTCTCCCTATCCCCTTTCCTCGTGAACAATGCTTTAGGTATATCGAAATCTTTAAGAGCAGTCGAGCTGAAGTTAGAACTCACTATGATCCACCACGAAAGCTTATGGCCATGCAGCGGCCAGGTCCCTATGACAGACCTGGGGCTGGCAGAGGGTATAACAGCATTGGCAGGGGAGCTGGCTTTGAAAGGATGAGGCGTGGTGCTTATGGTGGAGGTATGTGAGAATATGCAGGCATCAGGGGGTGGTTCTTGGTGTATTTTCATTTGATTGATTGTACTTTTTGTCTTCCAGGTTATGGAGGCTATGATGATTATAATGGCTATAATGATGGCTATGGATTTGGGTCAGATAGATTTGGAAGAGGTAAGGTAAGAATTGAATTTCTCAACTGAAGGATACTGACACTCTTGTCCATCTAGACCTCAATTATTGTTTTTCAGGAATGTCTGACCACAGATACGGGGATGGTGGCTCTACTTTCCAGAGTACAACAGGACACTGTGTACACATGCGGGGATTACCTTACAGAGCTACTGAGAATGACATTTATAATGTAAGATGAATTCATAAGTTGGCTATGTCAGTATAGCAGTAGTACACACTTGGTTATTTTGCTTAAGTGAAACAGCATGTTATAAATTTTACAAGTTTTTGTAACATTAGAAAGTTGATTTTGATTCTCTGAAACACCTTGTGTTTAGTTTTTCTCACCGCTCAACCCTGTGAGAGTACATATTGAAATTGGTCCTGATGGCAGAGTAACTGGTGAAGCAGATGTTGAGTTTGCAACTCATGAAGATGCTGTGGCAGCTATGTCGAAAGACAAAGCAAATATGCGTAAGTGTGATTTAAGTATCTTGGGGACTCGACAGGTGATTGTGTAATAGAGGACAAGTAAGGATGTATGAGAAGTTTGTTTGCTGTGATAATAGGTTAGCTCTTGTTAAAAACAAAGTTTGGGTTTCTTAAATTAGTGTAACTGAAAAGGGATTTGATACGAACATTGACTTGAGGTATATCCTTAATTAAAAAGCAATTTAGGTGAATGTTTAAAACAAAAGGCGAGTTTTTGGAAGCTGCATAGTTAAAGCAAACCACTTGAGAGAAGCAACTAGAATTTTTTTTTTTTACCAAAGTATTCGAAGTTCACAGATCTACTTGTATAAGAACTTAGTGCTTATCTTGTTTTCTTTCACCAACAAACATTTTTCAAATTTTTTTTTTCTCATTTCAGAACACAGATATGTAGAACTCTTCTTGAATTCTACAGCAGGAGCAAGCGGTGGTGCTTATGGTAGCCAAATGATGGGAGGCATGGGCTTGTGTAAATATCGTTAGTTTTTTTAAAAACCAAACCATATCTATATAAGTCAATTATATAAGTTAAGTTAATTTGTATTTAGTGAGTTTAGTATAATTAAGTTAGACAAAGGAAGTTTTGATTTGAATTTTGTGCCTGGCTTACTTAAATCTTTGTGAGTAACATAAAACTGCTTAGAATAGATAACTAGTTTTAAGTACTTTTGGGGGAGGGCACTATAGAAAGTAGTTGAATTGTCTATAAAGTATATATCTAAAATTAATACTTCGTGAAAAGCACAGGATCAAAATAACTAAAATTCCTGGGCATAATTAGGTGTTCATTGATACATGTGTATTGACATAGCCTTATTATATCATTATGGGGAACAACCCCACTAAATCCATTTAAGCAGTTTCATAAGGTCTCAAAATGCCTCTATGGAATCATGTGGAATTAGTCCTGCTGATGTATACTGTTGGCCAGTTGGTTTATAAATGTTGGACTAGCTTACGTAATGAACAGAAAGGTAGTCTGGTCATAGAAAATAGGCAAAGAGTAATAGTAATGTAAGATCAAGACTGGAAAATCATAGGTGTAGAATTACAAGCCCGGTACCACCAGGTACCACATTACATAGGGAACAAGGTTCTAATATTCTCTTAACTTAACAGCAAATCAGTCCAGTTACGGGGGCCCGGCCAGCCAGCAGCTGAGTGGAGGTTATGGAGGCGGCTATGGCGGCCAGAGCAGCATGAGTGGATATGGTAAGCGTGTTTTTAAATATACTTAGAATAAGTTTTAGGCAGGTTTCTTTAGTTGGGGGGAATATGCAGGCTCCTTTTGGTAAAATTGGGGGTTATTAAATGTATGCTTTTGATCCTAATATAACTTTTTAATAGCTTAATTTTGAGAACCAATCATTGGGTGGGGGAAATGTTCTATCAATTAGTTATTGTTGCAACTTGGAATAATGTTGAGCCAGAAAACATCTGCCTCCATTTATTAAGACATTAAAATAGTTCACTTTTTCTGTCTTGGTTAACATTAAATCCATTTTAGATGGAGGGAGAATTTAAAATAGTAAAATGGTGGTTGGGTTCAGGACCGTATTTACTAGTCAGTTAACCTAGGATTGGTTTTATTTATTAATTATTTTTTCAATTGGTCTAAAGAATGGTGATTTTTGGTATTATAGTCTTACCCTACAAAATCCTTTTGCAGACCAAGTTTTACAGGAAAACTCCAGTGATTTTCAATCAAACATTGCATAGGTAAATATTTTCTCAAAAAATATAAATTTCCAATAGCAAATACTGATGTTGTGATAACACTATTTCTATAGCAGTCAATGGCTCTGACTTAACTCCATAGAGGCTGCCATTTTGGGCACAGTGAGCTGCCTTTAAGTCCCACTATGTTGTCTCACTTCCTGCCCACCATGAATAGGAAAAGCAAGATACTGCCCCTGTGCTCCTATTCATACATGCCATTTGATGGACACATTGTGAATGCTTATGGTAAAAATTTTTTTTAAATGCCTTGTTTAGCTGTAAAAACACCAAGTAATTTTGCAATTTTTGAAAAACACTAGTTTTCCTTTAAACTTATTTCCACGTGGATCCTGAAGCATCTGCTTAAATGATAGCACAAGAGTCTGGCAAGTTGGTACTGCAGAGAAAAGGGATTGAGAGTTGTTTGGAGTTGGGGTCCCCTTTCCCAAACATGCTTCTCGCCACTTGGACAGCAGCCATTTGTACTCGTATACTTTTTCAACTTTTTCCTGGAATGCTTTATTTTACTTGCCTGGTAAAGTGATCCTTCTCCTGACTTATCAAATTGATCTCTCTGCAGGCAGCCAAGGAGCAGTGAGCAGCAGCTACTACAGTAGCGGAAGCCGTGTATCTGTGGGCGTGAACGGAATGGGAGGGATATCTAGTGTGTCCAGTATGAGTGGGGGGTGGGGAATGTAACCAGCCCCAACACTGACACCTAGGCTACATTTTTTAAAGGAAACAAAACTTAAGTTTAACAGTTTTGCAATACCAGCTTGTGATTTATGCTTACCCTAAGTGGAAATCAAGATTGTTTTAAAGACTTAAGGTTCAGTATTTTTGAACACAAACATTCATCTAGGATGTAACAACTAAGTTGAGTATAACTGTTAAACAATTTTTAGCTTTTCTCAAGTTAGTTCTATTGTAGGATGTACTTAAGCAGTAAGTGTATTTAGGTTAAAGCAGTTGAATTATGTTAAATGTTGCTCTTACATTACATTGAACACTTTGGGTACATGTTGAAAGACATGCTTTTTTGTAAAACTCAGAATAGGAGCTGTGTCTACAATTAAAAGTGAAACATTTGGCATGTTTGTTAATTCTAGTTTCATTTAATAACTTCTAAGGCACGTAAGTTGAAGCTTTTTTTAAGTTAATAGGGAAAATTTGAGACGCAATACGAATACTTTAGGATTTTGGTCTTGGTGTTTGTATGAAATTCTGAGGCCTTGATTTAAATCTTTCATTGTATTGTGATTTCCTTTTTAGGTGTATTGCGCTAAGTGAAACTTGTCAAATAAATCTTCCTTTTAAAAACTGCACTTTGTCTTGTCTATGCTTCAGTGTCATGTGGACTGTTTCTTGGTGCTCTATTCCTGCCTGGGGCGTAGGTGACAGTGGCCCACGTCTCTGGCTGTGGCAGAGAGGCTCGGCAGTTGGGGCTGGCATGTAGATGTCTTCAGACTTTCCTGCGATACACCTGAAGGTAAACAGCTTTGGGGCCGTGTGGAAGGGCTGTGTGTGGCCTGGCTGCACAGATCCTGGTCTGCACTGCCTTCGACTTGATAAAGCATTTACATAAAGCAGAGGCGGAAAATGCCCTCCCTGCATGCTCTGCATGTGCATGGGGGCTCCAGGCATGGCTGAGAGAAGTGCCAGAGGCCGGTGGCTAGGCGCTGCCCTGCCAAACCGGATGGCATCTGGAGTTTGGCTTATATGAGGTGTCTTGCAAGGCAACTCTTAGAAGGCTTTCAAATTGAGGTTTGAATCTTTATATTTTTGTCTCATTACTAAAGATCAAGTCCACTTGAGAGCAAAATTCATTTCTCAATAAAGCTCTTAAGGTGAAAGACCGTGTATTGGAGAGTAGAAGTGACTGGTTTAAATAAGATTTGACATTTGCTAGGAAATATGCCAGCATTAGCAAGTTAAAGGTGTCTCAACACTCGTCTGTAGAACTTAAGAATTTGAGCTTCAGACAACAGGCTGTACTGTTTGAAGCCTGGTGTGTGTGCATCTTACTTGCTGTGACTGCTGAAGGGTTTCTCGTTTCTGGATGAGAGTGGTGGGTGCACTTGATTGTAATAGTGTAGGTGGCAGCATGGCACAAAGATGGGAGTGAAGGCCATGCAGACCCTCCTGCCCTGCTGCACGCCCTCTGCTGGCAGGTGCTGCTTCATGCTCGGCTTCACATAGCTGTTGGCACTTGGAATGTGTCCTGCTGCTTGTCCCACAGGTTTAGGGTGCAATGATCCTTGGGAGACAGTGTGAGCACTGGTGGTGAGCTGTGCTCCAAACCTGGTACTGCTGCTGCCATTTTGGCTGAGGCACCCTGTGTCTTGATTGAGATACTTGGTGTTGAGAAGGTTTAAGGAGGGTCCCTCCCCGAGGTCCTTCAGTTTTCATATAGGGACCATTTTTGTTGAAAAACATGGAGGAATGGGGGACTAGAAGTAGGAAGGCTAATAAGCTAATCCAGAACCATTTGACGTTTGAAAAGGGAATCTAGAACCGCTCTGATTCTTAGGAACCCTGCGTTCCATGGACCAGCATCTTCACCTGGGAGCTTGTTAGGGATGACTGGACCCTCCCCCCCAGGTAATCAACCTATGAACTGACGCTTGAGCAGCACTGCCTTAAGACCATCTCCCTCATTGCCTAGCTAGGGAGAGGCTGCCAAGACCAGAGGGTTCCAAAGCTCAGGTGCATGTTTGATGTCTGAGCAGGAAAGTTCTCTTCCATTCAGCTAAGGCCTGATAACTGGCATGGGGGTTCTTTGTGAATAATGGTTGTTGAACATTTGTTGCCTGGGGGTGGGGTGGGTTGGTGAGGGTGGCAGAAGAAAACAGGTGTGACAGGGAAGAGGATGGTGTTGTGGTGGGGATGTCATGCTGCCTGAGCTGTCATTCTGAAGTAGGGAGGTACTGCCTACTTCGTTTTGTATGTGCAGATGAGTGCTAAGGCTCTCAGCAGGCTGGAGTCCACATTGGGTGCATTGAAAACAAGGTACAGATACTTGATGCCAAACCACTTTGGTTAGTGCAGCAGGCTGTAAATGGGCCCTGAATGAGATCTGAAGAGCTCAGGTTAAGTGAGGGGAAGGGAGGGGACCCTGTTGCAGCCTGAAACCCACAGCTTGGAAGAAACATGGCTTTGGAAGCCTGACTAGTCAGAACAGCATTAGTTTTGGTTCTGTCTGGAGGAGGGGCTCCAGAGGAGGAAGACTTGGCCAGTTTTCACAACCCACGGGTAACCCTGGTCCTGGCACTGCTGAATTTCAGATCTCAGATCCCGCAGGAGCTTCCCCATAGGTGGCTCCATCTGTCACCACCTGTCAACTCCCCACTATGTAAAGTCACTTTCTCTGTGCCCGTTAATGGACTTAGTATGGCTGGAATTGTCCTTGGCTCACCTGGGCAGAACATAACCTATACCCCAGTACCCAGCAGGTTCCTAGGCTGTCACTTCAAACACAGCCACCAAAGGGCCTTTTGTCCTGGAATGGGGTTGGGGTTTTGCCCTGAGGTGTCCTACACCTCTGAACTCGACACAAACTCCTACATTTCTGCACCAGGATTAAAAAATGATTTTATTGCAGGGTCATTGTTCATGGTGTGGAATGGCACATCTTTAGACTGAAGCAGGGAAGTACACTGGGCAGTGGAGGAGGAACGGATTACTCACTGCACTAGTATGACTGCTGCCAAGTAGGTTAATTCTTTGAAAAGGGAGAAATGATAGTAGCAGAACCATGACCTGTAACCAGTGATGTAGCCTAGCCAAGTGAGAAGGAAGTTTGAATCCAGAGTTCATTCCAGACAGCTCTGAGAGGGAAGGCTGCAGCCTTGGCCTGCTGTATTCGAGGATCACATCCTTTTCTTTGCTCCGCACCCCTGGACAGCCTGTGCTGTCCCCAGGCCCTAGGAGCCAGTGGAGGAGCAGCCCTGCAGGAGCAGGGTGTGGCAGCTGTCACATACGCGCACGGGCTTGGGGTAGGAGGGCAGGGCCAGCTCGTTGCTGGAGCACGTGTTGCAGAAGATATGGCCACAGTTTCGGCAGTGGTGCTAGAGGACAGAAAAGCAGCATCACAGGACGTCAGTCTCCCCAGGGCTGCACAACCCCTCCCCAGAGGCAGGTACCAGTTTGGAAGGGCTTCTAAACTTTGGTGTTTGCATTTATATTCCTGTAAAGCCCATGGAATGTTGGTGGGGTGGGCACTCGCAGGAGTAAGGTTACTGGATTTAAAAAGCCTGTGTCATTCCGTGACGGTTGCTCCACAGGCCCCTCCCGAGGGGTCTTGCTTGGTAAACAACTGCCATGAACCTTGGGCATGGTGCACAGCAGACACCTGTGCAACCTCTGCTCTGGGCTCTACGTCACTTCTGCCAACCTGCCACCCACATCCAGGTGTGGGGACAACCAGGCCTGTGGAGCCTCAACTTCCAGCAGGCCTTGTGAACAAGGCAGCCTCAGGACGGCTGTTTCTATTGGGTTGTCGGAAAAGTCATGACGTATCTTTTCTATGTTTTTCTTTGCAAAAATGCATCATGACTTTTCTGACAACGCAATAGTTCTGACTAAAATTTGGGAGAAGTTTCGCTTCTCCCAATGTGAACATGCATCCACATAGTATTGGCTGGGGTGGTGGTGGCAGTGTGACAGGCATTTCCCCCTTTTAGTAAAGACTCCAAATTTTGCTTGTGGTCTGTACCCTGCCCCATCCTGCCCACCTGGTCAGTCACGGCCCTGTCACTCATGGACCAAAGGCTGGGTCCAGGACCTTCTGTCCTTGGAATGTGAAGGCAGATTTGCGGGGAGTGAGTGGCCTGGGAGTTTTTGGTGCCACTTCGATGCCTGCCCTGAGACCTGCTGCCCGTAGGTTCCCCATAGATCCTGTTTTTGACTAACTTAGGCAGATTTTGGTTCTGTTGTTTACAAAGAATTTTCAATGATACATTCACCTAAGACCTCTTCTGCACACAAGCAATCCCAACTCCCAAAGAAATCTGCCAATCATTGAAAGGGCTGGTGGGGACAGGGCCTGTGACTGACTGACCAGGGCCCCCAGAAAAGGGTGCAGGCGAGAAGCCGTCTGGATGGGCCATCAGTTCAGCGAGGGCCTTTCCCAAAGCCAGAGAAAAGGGAGTCGCGGCGGGGCGCTGACTGGCCCCTGGGTGAGTGCGGAGGCCAGCCACATACCTTTCTCCGGGAAATGGAGAACTCCTTCTCACACTGCTTACAGTGTGTTGCTTCATCGTCTTTCAGCCAAGTGTGGCCCTAGGAGGAAACAGTGATGGCTTGGCTCCTGATGGACCTTTAGCCCGGCATCCACTGTCCCTTCCTAATGGCACCTGGGTTCCTTTTGAGGGACTGCCTTTTGTGCAGCTGATGTGTCCTCACAGGACTGCCTCCACCTGACCACAGCCAGAGCTCCCTCCGGGCTGCAGACTGGGCCCCGCCCAATCTCTGCATGCTGCCCCCGGGGCCTCTGGTTAGCCTGAGACTCCCCCACCCCTTCTGTAAACAGGATCTGGTGCTTGCAATCCCAGCCCTGGCTGACACCCTCCAAGTGGCTCCTGACTTGGCAGGAGGGTGGAGGGCCAACCCTGTTGGCCAGACTACAACGGTCTGCCACAGTGGTCCCTGCCAAGACAGAAGGCTACGTGCCACGGAGCCGGGAAGCCCCTGCCACACGCACCAAGTGCCAGATGCCCAGAGAAATGCAGGAGGCGCAGGGGTCTCCATTCTGTAGAGGAGGCAACTAACTGTGGCTTCGAAAGAGGTGCTAGTCTTGTGTTGTGACTTCTGTCCCCTCTGGCACTGAGAGTACTGTGCAGTGCTGGAGACACACCATCAGCTCAGCAGTTATATCAAAGGAGCTTTCACTCTGCCAGGGAGGGTAAAATAAATGGACGGTAACTCTAAGTCCAGGTGCTGGTAGGTGCCATCACCTTTTGCTGCCTCTGACCTGTGTGCACTTGGGAGGTGAGTTGCCCAGTCATTAGGTCTCTGCTCCAATGCTTGCTGGAGGTTGCCTGGCGAAGTGGCTGCCAAGCAGCTGCCGTCACAGAGGTGAGGCCCAAGGGCTGAAGCCCCGCCACAGGTGGGCCGTCCCTTCTCTGAACTACCCTGGGAGGGGGGCAGCTGGGGTGTCTGCCCTTCCTTTCCCACTGGGTCACCTGGTCCTGCTGTGACCCAGTGCAGGCGCCAGGCTGGCCTGCTTGGGTGGGGACATTTGTCGTCCCCAAATGGTCCAGACACTTAACCTGCTCAGGGCTTCTGTGGCCCCCAGAAAGGGCACGGGCACTGCCGCGGGGCAGGGTGACCTCTGGCCCCTCACCTGGAGGAAAAGGTCTCGCTCTTAATATTACAAAAAATCCCCAGACCTCTCTCTGCCACCTTTGCTTCCTTCGTTAGGGCACCTGTGATCTAGGCCTGCTGTCATTACAGCTGATGGCAGAGAACAGGACAGAAGCCCTAGGTTCCAGCTGGGGCCTGCCACTTGTTGACATAGAGTGACATGGCTCTGAGCAGCATTTTATCTGTAAATGACAAGAACCACCACCTCAAGCACACACTTCCCCACTGTTGGGAGAAAACCCAGGTGCATACAGGGTGTTACGGGGACAGCCACAAGGAGCAGTTCTCAGGCTAATGACATGGATAATTCAGTACCTTCAGTGCCCTATTGACTTCTTTGATGTCTTCCATCTTCAGCTTTGACCTTAAAAAAAGGAAAGACCATTCACAGCAGTGAGAGGGGCTCTTAAACTCTAACAAAAAGAAACTCGCAGCCGTTGGCTTTGTGAGGAACCTGAGGTTCTAAAATGGTTTCCACCTTTTTCTAATTCCAGAGTCACCTCATCTATTGGCTCACGTATGCTGCGGTCTGAGGCTGTGTCTGTGGACTGAATCTGGCCAAAAACAGACTGTTTAGCCTGCAAGGGTTGAAAATGACTTTGAAATAATTTTAGTCATTTGAAAATCGAGAATTACCCGAGAAGCCCAGGTTTCTGGCTTCTCTGGGTAACCATTCTTGCATGTGACATGTACTTGGCGTGTGTGGGGTTGTGGCGCTCAAAGGTCCATCGGGAGCTCTTCCTGGCCCCTTCCCTGCTGCCTGCTCTGTCTAGAACATTCAGGCTCAGAGGTCATGGGCATTTGTTCTTGCTCAATTCTTGTTAATAAGAACTCATTAGTTGTCTGCATAAAAGACAGGACTGAACACTGTCTAAACTGGCAGAATTAAACCAGATAAAATGAAACACTGTATTTGTAACTTGGGGGGTAATGATCTGAGCCCTCTCTTAAAAGCTGTCAGTGGATTGCCGAAGGGTCAGCGTGTCAGGGCTCTGACACAGGCTAGACTTCTGGGGAGGGCTCAGGAAACCGAGTATCAGGGCCTTGGGAAACCCTGTGGCCTTCAGGAACGACTGCGGGCGCTTCCTTTCCTCCTACCTGCTGTGGAAGAAGACCAGAGGCTGCCGGGGACGGACAGACCCTGGAGCCAGGTCAAAAGGGCAGCCTGGGTGCACGAGAGCTTCCCTGGGAAGTACAACTTAGGAAGAACCCAGATGTTCCCGCAACAGCTGGGCAGCTGTGTCTGTACCGGGTGGGGCTCTGAGGACAAGCTTTGCCTTCTCTGGTCACCTGGTGTGGGCTCGTGAGGACGAGTGGAAACAGCACAGAGGCAACCCTATGGGCAGCCCTGCCTATGCTGCACAGCCCGGCTGAGGGGCATTCTGCAGCTGGTCAGGCTGCAGTGGGGGGCTACCAAGAGCAGGGGTTCCTTTTCCAGATTAGGGCCCCCATGACAGGAGGGTGCTCTCTGACTCTGCTCGCCAGCTGTTCAATGTGAAGAGCACAGGCAGGAGGGAAAATGGCGATAGCTAGTGAGAAGGGGGCGCGCGCTGGGCCACAGCACACCACGCCCGGGGTGTTCCTCCCTACCTCTGAATGTGACTGCAAACCCAAGGAGCCAGCTGTGTACCAGCTTCCACACCTGGTGCTAGTCTCAGATGCCCTCAGAGCTTGCCTGTGCTTCAAGATGGGGTGGACACCTGGCTGTGCCCACTCCAGGAGCCCCTCAGGCAGGGACAGGAGAGGCAGCAGGCAGGCCTCAGGGTGGAAGGGGGGACAGGTCAGTAGCCCTGAGCCAGTCTAGAAAGACACGGTGAGTGGGGCAGGGTCTTCATCTCATTCCCACCAGGCCACGCATTTCCTTTCTTACTAATATTAATACTTTTGTGGGCCGGCCTAGAGCACTGCTTTATCTAGACTTTGCAACTTTCCAGACTGAGGAAAACCGGAAGATGGTACACATCTGTGTCTCACTTCAGTGTGTTTCTAGTTTATTCTCATGTTAGTCCCCCCTCTGGACCTTTCTGGTCACTGTGTATTCAGCGCTGGGCCTGAGCCCAGGCTGTGCTGGTCACGAGTCTCCATCTCTTTGGTCACCGTCCTTATTTCAGGACTCAGGTGGGAGCAGTGAGTCAACTTGGGGTCCTTGTGGGAGCGATGCAACAAGAGGAACTTGCGTTCCTATTTGAGACGGCCTTGCTGGGCACCATTCTGTCCCAGTGTGGGCCAGACCCACCTGTCAGGTAAGCAACAGACAGAATAACAGAGGTGGGAGATAGAGACTAATTCTTGATGGCTTTTTTTTTTTTTTTTTGCTTAAGCCAGTTTAAGTAGGATTTCTGTCAGTTGCAACTAAGAATCCTGACTCATAAGGGGACAAAGCTGCCCACTGGGTTTGGAAATGCAATGATTACACAAAGGGACAAGTTCCACAATCTGCAGTGTCACCCATCAGACTGTCCCGACAGGACAGGAACACCAGGGAGAGCTGTCAGGTTGAAGGGTAGACAGAACTGCCAGAGCGTGCTCCTTCAGCACCGCCAGGCACACAGACAGGCTGGCGGGTGAGTATCCGGTCCTGACAAAGGCAGGCGTGCCGTGGCTGGCTGCAGTTCCCAACCCACAGTGCTGCCCATGGTCTGACTGCAGGCTGAACAAGTACTGCGTTCAGCACCCCTCTGGTTCTGGTCCCCTTGAGACCTAGATACTGTAAGTGAACATGAGGGTTCCAGTCACTAGAAAAGAATATTCTTAACAAATTAATTAAATCAGCAGTGTCCCCAAGGCTTGACTTCCTGGGGAGGGGGTCACCCTTGGACAGCTGGCAGGCCTCCCTGACTGGTTCTCCCTCCTGACAACAGGACATAGGTTTGGGACTCGAGTCATGTGGTGGGCAGGCTGGTGTGACTATGGGGAGGGAGGCCGAGTGGCCCTGATGCTGGCGCTGGTGAGGGGGGCAGGTTCTTACTGGCTGAGATGCAGTCCCATTTCCTGGAGGGCTTGCTCCTGCTCATCACAAACCTTCTGTAACTCTGTCTTCTCGTCCTGGAGCTCCCGCAACTCCTAAAATGAACAAATCAGATGACTGATGCAGAATTGAGTCCTTTTTTATAAGGTTTAGTAATCACAGCAACAAGCAGATCAGAATGTTTTTTAAGAGCTAAAGGCAGTTTTGTTGTGTTAGCCTCATTCAAGACGGTGATTTCATGGGTTACTTCTCATTAGCTAACTTCTCTAGAACAGGCAATGGGAAGGGGAGGTGGCTCTGCAGTGGGGACAGTGACCTGGGACAGGATGCAGCCATGTGCATCAGGCACATTCAGGACTGTCACCCTCACAGGGGAAATGAGGCTTGGCCTAGCTGAGTTTCTATTTAAAAGAAAACAAAACAAAAACCTCAAAAAACACACAATGAACCTTGTACAGAAATGAAGTTTGCATCCGTGAAGGCTCAGCTCTTTTTGGAAAGGGGTGGTCAAATTTCCTGGGGATGAATGAGCGAGTCAGATTTAGGCCAAGATCTAGGGTCTCATTGTGGCCGGAGCACGGCAAGACCTTCCGGAGGCCCTGAGACCCCACGTAGGAGCAGTGCACATGGGGAGTGAGAACCATGAGGGGACAATGTTGGTAACGTTGTGTATTCTGGGGCCAGTGCACTTGGAGGACACAGGCTGACAAGGGCAAAGATGAAGACCCAGAAAAGTAAGTGAGGTCCAGGGCTGACCATGGGCAGCAGTGGGGCATCCCTCCCTCCCAGCCATCCCTGGGCCTCCTGCCCCAGAGCCTGTTCACACAGGCCCACGGTACCCTGAGGCTTACTGGTGACGTTGGGCACGTCGTTTTATTTCTTTGTGTGTGGAGGGGAGAGGGTGTGGAATTAAAAACTTAGACCAAAGTACAGTAATACCTTGGTTTGCGAGCATAATTTGTTCTGGAAACAAACTACTCATATTGCAAGACATCGCTCGTTTACCACATTAAAATGGATTAGAAATGTTTGTTAGTCTTGCGGAACACTTGCAAACCACGTTGCTCACAATCCAAGGTTTTACTGTATTTTGAAGTGGAGTAAAAGGGGCATGTTCCACGACACTGTAGAACTTTCTAGAAGGCCTCTTCTGCCCTCTGTTTCCTCTCCTCCCTCTCCAAGCCTGAGTGGATCCCCACCCCTGGCCTAGTGGGTTCTCCCGCGAGGCTCTAGACACTTTCCAACAGAAATCAAAAGGGCCTTGCAGGCTCATTCAAATCGTGCAGCGGTACCCATTACCATGTTGACAACAAAACCCAGGTCTGGAAGGCTGCCCTGCCCCAAGGAGCCTCCTTCAGAGAAGGTAACGTGTGGGAAGGCCACCTGTGGCTTGGCGGTCCCCCGAGCCTGGTACCACCCCCACCAGGAGAAGCCATGGAGGCCAGGGACACCCTCCAGCTCTCCAGGCGGCAGCCAGCCCCAACCAGAAATGCCAGGCCCCTCGCGCCTTCTGGGGAGACAGCTGGTGATTTTATAGTAGGGGAAGAACTGCAGGCTAACTGAACTTCACGGGGTGTCCCACTCCACAGTGAGATGACAGTGCCGTGCTGGTACCCCCATTTCCCTGTTCTCTGAAGCTTCACCGCAGGATTTAGGCCACAGATGAGGTGAGGCCCCTGGAGGAGCAAGGTGACTCCAGGGAGAGACTAAGGGAGATTTAGGGCCCTAGTCCCATCAGCTTCCCGGGGATGGCCCAGACCAGGTGGCTCTTGGGACCCAGGATCCTTGGCCCCAGGAAGAGTGGCCGACCCACCTCCGGGGTGAAGGTGCTGACCATGTTTACTGGTTACTCCCAGTTTTCTCTCTTTCAAGCTCACCACCCATTCTCCACACAGTAGCTGGTGACGGTCTTAAAATGGCATGGGTCGTGCCCCTCTGACAGCCTCCTATGGGGCTCAGAAGAAAATCCAAACTCGTTCACCAGCTTTGAGAGCCCCAGTCGGCTCTGCTCACCTGAGGCCCCAGCCAGCGCCTCCTTCCTCGGCCCATCGCACTGCCGCCATGCTGCCTTCTTCTTCATGGTGACAGCTTCATACTTCCTGGGGTCTGCTCAAATCTCTGCCTGGCTATCCCTTGCTCATCCTTCAAGTTTCTGCCTGTCACGCTCTTCCCAGACCGCCCCCTAATTACTCTCTTCACAGCACTCATTACTGAGTCTCTGGTTTGCTCACTGGCTCTGATCTGTCTGCTTTTCCTCCTATAGCACAGGCTCCAGGGGCATGGGGACAGCACCCCCAGACCCCAAGCCGCTGGTGGTGGGGCCGGCCTCTTCAGCAGGACTTCCTAGAGATGCCAGAAGCCCTTTCCTTCAAAGGACAGGCCACCTTACCTTCTTTAATCCTTCTACTTGCTGTAGCTCTGCTTGGAGTAGAGACGAGTTATCTTTCTCATACTGTAATTCTCGCTGAAGGGCTTGTCTTTGCTCCTTTTCTGATTTCAGCTCTTTCTCTAGACTTGAGCTGTTGTCCCAAAGTGAATGTGAGTTAGTCTCAATGGGAGATTTTCATGGAAAACCCACAATCCCAGCCCAGTTCACTGCTCAGGAAATGGGGAATTCACAGGACTCTGAACTGCCACGTGAGCTCCAGACCCTTCAAGAAAGCATGGAAACAAGGTCCCCTCTCCCCCAGGGCCACCTGCACCTCTGTAAGAAAGATCAGGGACATGTGAGAGAAGGGGAAGAGCTCTCGGACACCCAGGAACACACCACAGTCCCCGCTGCCATGGGAGAGAGCACAGCGCTTATTCTGCCTTTTCCACCCTGGAGCCAGCTGACAAGGGAGGGTGCTCCGGGTCAGGGTGGGGACAAGGAGTGCATCTTGGCTGAGGGGCCCCGGGGAGGGTACAGAACCCCTTGAGGCTGGTTTCTCACTTGTGAGATGGGGAACGCAGACATCTCTCATCATCTGCCTTTTCACTTTTACTCGGCACACATGCTCTCATCCCAACTCTGCCTTGCAGGGGAACCCTGGAGTGGGCCACCGCGTCCCCCTCCACCGCCCCCACAGCACCTACCACCGCCCATGCAGCTGGGACAACTGCTGCTGCAGCGCACCGGTCCTGCTGCCCAGCTCCTGCTGCAGCGTGTGGCTGTGTGCCTCAGCGTCCTGCCTTGCCCGCTCCGCCTGCTGCACCCTAGACAGACGGGGAGAGCTGTGGGAAGGCCCAGGCCCCACAACTTGAGGAATGGACTGCTCACATTCATGCTGGTGTGTGTGTCTTATTTTTAAATGAGTATATGGTAATATTAACTGTGTGTGTGTGTGTGTGTGTGTGTACAGTTCCATGAGTTTCAGGCACCCTGGCCACCAGGACACAGCACAGTTCCATCACCCCAGGAAATGCTCTAGTGCTGCCCCCTGGAGCCACACCCTCTTGCTACCCCCCTGACCCCTGGCAACCACTGCTCTGCTCTGACACAATGGCTTTGTCGTTTTGAGAATGTCACAGAAATGGAATTATACTTCATATAACTTTTTTTTTTTTTAAAGATTTTATTGGGGAATTAGGGGAGGGGAACAGACAAGTTGCTGTCCTTTTGTTCTTCAGTCTAGTTGTGGAGGATGTCGCTTCACTGGCCCATGTTGGTATTATCATTGCACTCTTCCTGGGTGAGGCAGATCAGTCGCCGGCCTCTGAACGTCCACTCATGGCGGCTCACGAAAGTGCACTCCAGCTGCAGGCTAGCCACACTGCAGCATACGCCGTCACTGGCGACTCACAGCAGCCCAGCTCCCAAGCTGTTGTTCATTGTTTTAGCTGCAGAGGGCACAGTGTCACTGGCCCTAATGTGGGATCCGAACCGGGCCCTGCTGCTTAGAGCTGGCATCCCAAGCCAACTCTTAACCAACGGCGCCACTCGGCTGGCCCTACTTCATATAACTTTTTGAGACTGGCTTTTCTCTCTCAGAGTAGTATGGCTGAGATCAAGCCAAGCGTTTGTAACAATGGTTCATTCCTTCCTATGGCTGAGGAGTATTTCAGTGTATAGAGCCCTGGTTGGTTTATCCATTCCCCCGATGAAAGACATCTGAGATGCTTCTAGTTTTTGGCAATTATGAATAGAGCTGCTACAAACATTTGTGGACAGGTTTTCGTATGAATGTAAGTTTTTATTTCTCTTGGGTGAATAGCCAGGAGTGGGACTTGGGTCATATGGTAAGAGTATATTCAGCTTTATTGTAAGAAACTGTCTTCCAAAGCGGCTGCGCCATTTTGTAGTCCCACTGCTAACATATGTGCTTCAGCTGCCCCATGGCCTGGCTAGCATTTGGTGGTGATGTCATTAACAAAATACTTTGCAGCTCTAGTGTGTGCGGCAGCATCTGAGCGTGATTTAACGTGCACTTCCTCCTGGCTAGTGATGGGAGCATCTTTTCGTGCACTATTTGCCACCGTAAGTGGTGACGTGTCTGTTCAAGTCTTTTGTCCATTTTTAAACAAGACTGTTGGTTGAGCCCTGAGAGTTCTTGATATATTCTGGATACAAATCCTTTGTCAGACATGTGAGGTGCAAATTTTCTCCCAATCTGTAACTTATCTTTTTATTCTCTTAACCATGTCTTTCACAGAACACAAGTTTACATTTTGATCAAGTACAATTAATCAAGTTTTTCTCTAATGGATAATGCTTTTGTGTCATGTCTAAGATCTCTTTGTTTTTTTTTTTTTTTTTTTTTTCAGCATCTTAGCTG